GCCGCAGTAAAACCTCGTCCTTTGGTCGTGATCGCCGTCGAGGCAGACGTCGGATGGCATGGAAAGAGTCTCCTCGCCAAGCCATTAACGGTGTGAACAGTGCAGGTGAACCCCAGAAAGATCTGCCTTTTTTCTGTACTTTCTGTCCGCGGGCATTCAAGACGAAGTATGAATGGATACGCCACGAAGACTCTGTCCACGCGCTTCGAACCACTTGGATTTGCTGTGACACAAAGTCATCCGAAAATCTTGAAGCATGTCCATTCTGCGGCCAGGCCCATCCCGACGATGCTCACCTGGCTGGCCACAAGTACCAACAATGCCGAAGCAAGCCCGAATCCCAACGAACTTTCTATCGCCGCGATCACTTCATCCAGCATCTGCACCATGTTCACTTCGCCAACACCAAACATCCGTCCGTACGTACCGGCTGTCAAGCTCGATTATTAGCCGCTGAAGGCCACAACTTTGGTTGCAAGGACCTCGCCATGAAGTGGCGTCGCTTCGGTGCTCCAATGAAGCTTGACGATCCTATGCTTCATTGTGGCTTCTGCGGAAAGAAGTCAAAAGACTGGTCCGAACGATGTGAGCATGTTGCTGAGCACCTCGTCGCGCGTGAGCTTGACCGTGCTGTGTGGTGGAGCGAGCGCAAGGAAAACCATTTGGAGAACCTCTACTCGACTACACCATACGAATCCTTCCGATGCCGATACTGCCAAAAGGTCTTTACGGATGTCAAAGATATGAACGAACACTCTCACTGTCGTGTGTGGAGCTGTCGATTTCTCCGGAGCTTCGACGACGTTGCTGCAGACAATGCAGGTCCGCCCCTGTGTCCAGACTTTCCTTCGGCCAAAGCTCACCATTGTCACCTTTGCGGCTCCGGCTATCGAACGTTCCACGTCGAACATGCGCAGAACTACCATCGGTATCGCTCGTGCAATCAAGAGTTTTACACATCTGAAGACGCTTTCCTCCAGCATTTGCACAACTTTCATGGCGCTTCACAGCCAACATTATTGCGAGGCTCTGGTGTCATCGAGCAGAGCTATATGCGCAATAAAGGCGCATCGTTCGAGCCCGTGGAGTTCAATGAGAGCTGGCAGCCTTGCGTTATGGATCTAGACGTAGCCTCTGTCAGTCCATTTGTTGCCGACAACACTGTTTCAACCCTACCTGTCGACCAGAGAAGGAGTCAAAACCAGACCCGGAAGTCGCTCGTCATTCCAAAGAAAGCTCGTGACATTGTGCAGACTCAGGACGTCAATGTCAAGAAGGTATCAAGACAACGATCTGACACATCAACCTCCAAGGCCGAGAGTCATCACCCGCGATTCTTCCGACTCAGTACTTATGTACCCTTTCTGTCATCTCGTATCTTCTACTCGCGGTCTGCAAAGGCAGCGGACTTTCCGAGAGACAACCAGGCTGTGCTAGAAGAGCTACCGAAGCCGCACATTGCGACACTGGCGATGAGTGCAGGCACAGTCAGCATGGCCGCCGCTCGCTTGTTCATTCGGCCAGACACATGTTCGGTCAATGGTATGGTAGAGCTTACCATTGATAATGAAGCAGATGTAGATTGAGCGAACTTAGCCGCTGCCGAGTGGGGATCGGGATTACTGTAGATCGCACGAGACCTTTGGCACTGTCCCCTTCCTCGGCAAAAGCGTCACTGCGTTGCCCGAGAAACTGTCCGACGGCTGACGTCGTGGTACTGCCCATCCGATTGGTCAAGCAGCGTTGTTTTGAAGTGGATTAGACTGTGGAGGGCGCACAGACTGAGCTCCTTATCCACTTCAATACTGGTGGGCATCCAGCAGCTCTACTGGCAACATATGCAAGCTACCTAGCTGCGAAGTACGCACTCGATCAATCTCCAACCCCGTCAGTTCGAATCCGAACCCAAGATTTGAAATCGCCCAAGACAACATGGCCGAAGATTCGGTCGTCCATCTCCCACTCGCCATCGACGTTCCCAAGGACTCACCTGAGGACTTACTCCTCTCCACTACCTCTTCCGACACTGATGTCAAATTCGATCGCTTCAATGAGCTTCCGGAGGAGCTCAAGCTCGAGATCTTTCGACGCCATCTCCGCTTTCCCTGGAGCGTCACTAGCCGTAGCCATGACTTTATCTACGGACCCCGCTTTCTGAACACCGCGCTTGCCAATAAAGAGCTGTGTAGTATCGCATACCAGATCTATTACCACGAAAACACTTTCAAGTTGGCCTGGTTAGTTGTGCGCGGGTCACGTCGAACCCATTTGTCTTTCCGTTATCCATCCAAGGCCATCGCACATCTTGTTACGAAGCTCGAGATACATATGGAAATACAGGATTTCAGGTACCCCTTAGGACTATTCTACTGCGGCGGCTGTCAGGGCTCGCAACTAGCTGTCCTAGCTCATCCTCGCCGCGCGTCCTTCATAAGAGGGTATACCTGCTTTATTCTGGAGCCGCATTCGTGGGCAAATGACAATGAGGCCAAGGCTGGCTGGGGAAGATACTTCACCTCGTTGAAAGAACTCCGCATTGTGATCCACTTGCCTTACTGTCTTCCGGAAGAATCGAATGTATTCTTCGAGCGACTGCCAGAGCAGGCGCGCCTATTGTTGCAGGCCAAAAACATCCAGGTCGAAGTCGAGCATGCTCATGAGCGCACTCGCTGTGACGGTCATTGCGAGCGCACGATCGAACGTGGTATTATCGGCATGACAGGACCGCCAATTCCGAGTCACTATACAACATGAGAGTTGTCTCCAGGACTATCAGGCCTCGAACCACTATTCTGGGGCGTTTCTCCTCCGAGGCGCATTTCGACTGCTTGAACGAGGGATCTTTGTCGGCGTTGCGCCGTATTGACGTGGCATAGTGACCGAAGCATGGAACATGTGAAGGTGCTATGAGGACAAACTCCAGAGTTTATACGGGCTGGTGTCACGGCGCATAATTCCCATCAAGTCGTCAGAGAGCATGTTCTGGACATGGGCGGTGGTGTCTTGACTGTCATGTATACAATAATTTTCAACCTCGATAAGGAACGTCTTTCCCAGGAGCTTTCCACATTGTAGTCGTTATTGCGCAGCTTGTGAGCGCAATATCACATCTCCAAGAAATGCGTATCGCCGAGGTATTTGTGAAAAGCCATTGTTAAAACACATCAGGCCTGGTAACGCCTACCTGGTATCAACCCACTGAAGTCTCACTGCCATTTTAGAACTTTGGAAGCGTTTCACTGCACACTGTCAGTTCTGCACCTGCCTAGAGTCACCACTGTACTGTAGTTGTCGACTGAATTTTCCTACCATCCCATAGTACTAGGCACCGCCCACCTATCTGAGAAGCAACATTGCAGCACTAAACTACCAATTTCAACACTAAAAAAACGATTAGCAATCGCATATGATTCATATAACGAACGCGCGGAACGATAAGTGCACCTGCCTAGTGAGTCGCGGTGCACGGACTTTACGTCAGGTGGTACCTGCCTTGCGTCCCGCTCTCAGGCCACTACTCTATACTATAATCCCGCTCATACCATCAACGCCTTCACACCATACGAGCCTTATCACTCAACCAAGAACGACGACTACCAACATGACAACCGGATCCGACTTATTCCTCCGAGGGTTCCGCAGCCTCCCTGGAGAGCTGAAGCTGCTCATCTTACGCTACGCCGTCCACACTCCAACGGCCGTGACATCCTGCACTTGGCTCGATGAATGCAACCTCCATTTTCTCTGTTATCCCCAAGACTGTTTCGAAATCAATCTTTTCCAGTACCGCACGCTTGAGACAAGGCGGTTTCTGAAAGAGACAGTGATGCCCCTCCTCTCTGTTCCCGAAATCAAGCCCCTTGTTCTGGAAGCTTTCTATGGGGTCAATCGAACGGTGATACTGTCCAATGACACCCCCTCTTCGAAGAGGAATATTTGCTACTGTCCCCCACCTGTTGTAAGGCCTTTTGTTCGCCGTCTCGAGATTAACCTCGATTACAACAAGCCTCATCATCTAAAATTATTGAGGGAAATCGGGGATGGGTCAAAATTTCCTAACTTACACTACTTGACCGTCAACCTCGACCCGGAGTGTCTGTTCTACAACAACGAGGAGGACGACGGACCGAGGTCGTATTTCGAGGCGTATTTTCAGCGGCTCGGCCCAATTCACTTTCCCACGCGCCATCTGACCATCATATCAATCATATCAATCATATCAATCATATCAATCACACCAGTCATACTCGGAGGAAGCGACGTCGATATCGATGCAGTGGAATCACTCTATTTCAAGCAGCTTGACCCGAAATCCAACGGAACTCGAGAAGAACGATGGCAACGCTTCTATATATTTGACGATAAAGACATAGAAGAGAGGACTGAATACGTTACAGAGAGGTCGAAGTTCACTGGTATTGCCCATGTGGGCGTTTATCAAGACCAGCATCGTGTGACGATCAAGACCGTGTCGACTCGGCCGAAGGACTCGCCATATGGGCACCATAGGTGGGCAGATTATCCAGTTCGGAAGTAGCAACGTGGCGGTGGACATACGATGCGCTCCTTCTTATGAACTTGAGAGATGGAGCGGTAAGCTATTGGACGTGGGGAAGTATCGTCTCACCCAAAAAGATCTGGACGAGATGCATGTTTGACAAGCGAGTGAGCGAGCTTCTAGGTGTATAAAGTTAGCTACTCAGATGCATGGTCGCGAAGGTATTCTCATTGATCCTCTAACGCATCAGCCCTTAAAACTGTGACGCCCTTTCCTGCTGCCGCAATCTAGCTGCAAGCAGGAACGATTGTTGATATCTACGCGCTGATTCGTCGCCTTCTCTACCCTTAACCACAGATTAGCAGTCGCATCCCACGCTCACCCCAATCGAGCGATTCGCATACATCCTGCTCTCATTGCAACTTCTACTTCGACAAATTACACCAACGAAACATCGCGCCGTTGAACCTCGCAAAACCTTAACACTCAAGTCAATCCGAAAATGTCTTCCAGCGCCCAACAGAGCAATGCAGCGTCCAGCATACCTAAAGACGCGAAGACAAACTTCCTGCACCTGTCCGATGCCGAGTTCCTAGAAAAGCTTCAGTCTTTCGCCAAGTTCAAGGAACGCTCGCACCAAACGCACCACCAAGTACACGTACCAGAACTCATCGCGCGACTTCAACTCGATACCCCGTTACCTACACCTAGCGAAGATGCTTCTCCCCCCGCACCAGACGCGCCCGTACCAAACCTCTCAAACACATCTCCCATCAGTGTCGTCTACCTCGGCAACTCCATGCTCGAGCGCTTCAAAACCAGCGGTATCACCACCGACATCGGCAAACTCGGAGACACTGGAGTCGCATGGAACGCCGGTGTAGGCGGCGACAGCAACCAAAACGTCGCATACCGACTCACAGAAGGTCTCTACGACATGCTCAAGACGGCGAAGAAAGACGTATGCGACATCAAACTCTGGATCGTGGCTTCCGGGACGAACAATCTGCAGAAGAAGCGTGCGTTCCGGAAGCAGGATGTGGAGAGCTGGAGAGTATTGGTGGAGGCTTGTCTGAGGATTGCGCCAAAGAGTACGGTGTTGGCGTGCGACATGTCGTATAGACTGGATATATCTGATGAGATTGTGGATCAGAGTAATGAGATGCTAAGGGAGGTTGTTGGAGAGATCAACGGGGTTCTTCGGGTTGAGAAGGAGCACGAGCTGCAGACATATGAGGATCAGACTGAACGGGATCGCGAGGACAAGGTGAAGTGGGTTGATACGAGGCACATGTTCATCAAGAACATGCTTGACGACCATGTGCATCTGAATGAGGGGGGCTATTGGTTGTGGGATTTTGTGTTATGGCCGCATGTGGCGAGGGTCTTGGTCGTCCCGACAGAGGAAGATGATCAGCTTCTTGATTGGACGTGAGTCTCAGCCATGCCTGGGTTTGGTCAATGAGGATGTATTCATTAGCATTATGGATAGTAAAAAGCAGCTATTGGAAACTTGAGACGAGGATCTTGCACGTCCAGACCTTGTAGCCTTCCCGTTCATCCTGCATATTCAACACCACCCGGCGCATGTCTTGCAATTCCAGATGATTGGTAGCATGACTCAAGGCTCCTTGCCCATAATCATGTCTTTTAGATGTTGAAAGACTTCGGTATGATCCTGCTCGCAAGGATGATAGTGCCACAAGAACCGGCGGCCATTGTAAGTATCACGGACCGTAAACTCCACCTTCGGTGCCCGGAGACGTATCCCAGATTTTTCTATACAAGCTCTCAACATGTCTCCTATGCCATCCTCGAGAAAGCATCCGGGCATGATATCGCGTTCAAGACGCCACTCGATCCCAAGGGTATGTAGGTTGACGAAGCGTTCTTGCCATCCAGGGTTTATATTGGCGCGAGGTGCATCATCTTTGGTACCGTTCATCCAATAGTCTCGGGGAGGTAGATCTATAAGGTACATCCAACTCGTCGAGTGCGAGGCACATATAAGTCCCTTCTCTACACCGACCTTGCAGTTCATCGCCACAATATGCAGATGACGTATCATGGCAGCCGTATGTGGCTTGGGACACCAGAGACCGCTGATGCGGTCCTCAGGGGAAAACGAATAGCCCTTGCCAAGTTCGACGTCGCCTGTTTGCATGCGGCACCCGATGCACAGCTCGAAGACATTTTTGTTGTAATATACTTCTTGTGCGATGTTGGCTAGATGACGGTTGCGCGTGGCCAAGAGTGGGAACAGGTCCGACTGTAGACACTGGGCGTGTTTCCTCTTGTCGATTCTTCCATTCAGGGTTAGATTGTGCGAGAGAACTTCGCACTTGAGCTCATCAGGAAGTCGCGCCCAGGCGTGGAATGACCGAGAAACTGGTATGACTGGTTGTTCGGTGTCGGTACCTTGAGCCATCATCCTGGCATAGGTTCCCGACCTCGGTGGTAGGTAGGGCTTGCAGGTGTGATGAAGGTTGATGAGGCAAGGTCTATCAGCAGAGCCGGGAGATAGTTGCATGCTTTTGCAAGAGGCCCGAAAGCAACGATGGGAGAGAGAGGAATAGGTAGGAATCCGCGCCATCTTGCGAGGTCGTCCACCCTGCGGCACGGGCCAGCCAGTGCAGGATGCGCCTGTGACTCAAACTGGGGCATAGTTTTGGTTCGCACGGGTCGATGATGGAGATGCATCGACGTTGTCGTGAGATGATCACCACGAGTATGAACCGATTCGGGGTCGGGAATCTGAATCATCCTGAGCCTTTCACAGCGACTGGCACCTGCAAGTCAAAAGAGAACATGAACTTCATTCACCAAATGCACCCGGGGTATACTAAGACAAGAACTCCGCTTCCAAACTCCTTGGATATTTGAACAGGACTCTCAGATCATTCTCGCCACTCTTTCGCGCATTGGGTGCACTGGAACAGGTCAGTGGGGGTTTTGAGGAAGTCGGGTATGTGACGTACCTTGTAGAAAGCAGTCATGGGCTCGTCGGCACTTCGAATCTGCAGCTGGTACCAGTATGCTTCGTGGTTCCGGCACTTCTCGTTCGGGCATTGTACTGTGTACTTGTCAGCGATGCCAACAGGTGTAGCAGGTGCGCCCAAGATGGCGCAATCTTGGGGCCCTGGTTGCAGCTGAAATATCGGAGCGCACCTTCCGTCTTGTCCACATTATCCCAGGCGCCCTTTCCACCCAGGATGTCTTCGACTTCCTTCTTCTTTAGGTATTTCCGCTCGTAGTAGCGTTTGTTGATTACGAAGTGGTAGGGGCAGGTAAGGCATTCGAAACGGTTTTGGCCGACAGCGTCTTCGGTGGTGGGATCGCCGGGAGGTACTTTGGAGACGCGCAGCATATTGCTGCATGTTGGGCAAACTGTGGTGGTTAGCTGTGGCTGGACTGGGACGTGGAGCTGTGGGGGTGGCCATGTAACAGGCACATGCGGAACATCCGGATATGTGAGTATGGGACTTACAAAGCAACATGGTGGATGGCAGTAAGCAAAAGAGAAGTTGGACGCGTGAAGCCGAGCGCGAAGAAGATCAAAAGTTATGACGGACCCTGACCCGCTAGGGCTGGGAACGGCAAAGTGCGGGGCGAGTGTGTAGCAGCGAAAAGCCACCGGCGACGCGCACTTGGGAGCGGACTGTCTCAGATTGGGGCTTATGCACGCTGGCCTGTCGACGTCGCCTGCATCCTTATCGCCGTATTAGAGAGATACTTCACTTCCTCACACCGCCCTGCCCTGTTCGCTTTCCGTTAGCACCTCCGAGTACCCCGCCAAACCACAGCTCGAAACATTCACGCGTACCTGACTGGACCGCCGTCCCTGCCCAGTCACCCTCCGCATCCTCAACACCACACACCATGGCGGACGAAGAGGTGCATACACATGCATACCCAGCGCCTACCACTGCTGACCAACATGTAGGGTGCTTCCCCCCGTGAACTCGTCCTCGAAGCGTGCCGACGCAACAACACCGAGCTGCTTGAGGAAACTCTGAAAGACCTTGCCGCTGCTGCCTCAAAATCAGGGAAGAAGCCAGAGGATCATGTCGCTGAGACATTGAACAACACACGCGACGGCGTGGGTAACGGCTGCCTTCACGTCGCGGCAACATACGGAAGCTGTAAGTATCTATCCCAGCGGCGCAGCACCAGGACGTCTTTGTCGCACGCCACACGGGGCATGATTTGACTAACTCTGCCACAGTCGAAGTTATCGACATGCTTCTCGACCAAGACGGTCTTGAGATCGACGAGATCGACCGCATGGAGCAGGATACTCCCCTTCACAAAGCCGTACGCTACGTCAACTCGCTCGAAAAGTCCGTCTGGCCCCACGGACACTCCATCGTGGCCATGCTTCTAGACGCAGGATGCGATCCGAGAATAAGGAACAAGGCGAAGCTCAAGCCCATTGAGTTGGTGGACCCGAGGAACACCGAGCTGAAGAGCATGCTGCAAAAGGGTGAAGTCTCGATGCTAATGGGCGGTGACGTGGTGGAAGACGACGACGATGATGGCCCAACAGGAAGCGCTAGCGATAGCGATTGAGAAGTCACTCATGGGAAAGCACGAGTTGGAGAAAGACTTTGGGCCCCGGCTATGGTGGCAATTGGGGTTTCTTGAGAGGGGCCGAGGTGTGTACACCTCACTACCGGCACTCAGCGTGCGCTACGCTACTGAACGACTTCATAGTATCGGCTTTGATAGCCATAGACAAGCACTGCTGCATGTACCCATCTGTTCCTCTTCATCCACGAGCCGGCCTCGCGCGCATTCGTGCTGGGGATGGAAAGCGGCTTTCGCTTTGGATCTTCCTTCTCCGCATGTCTCCATAATCAAGTCTGTCGTTCTAGAGTGTCCCGATCAATCTTGTTGCTACTTCCTGTTAGCTCATTACTTCTAAAACTCAACATTTCCATTACTCACCTCAGGCGGAGGCCCGACAGGCCTAACCATGCGCTCTAGTAACTGTAGTCGGGTCTTTTCGCGCGGCTGTCCCAGTCCGATGCTCATGTACTGTAGAAGAGGCGGGTGGCCAACGTAGCTCGAGAGCGAGTCGCGCGCGATGTTGGATGTCCATTCGTGCTTGGTAGTGTCTGCGCTTCCGATACCGATGTAGCGGGCCTGGAGAGCCTCGAGTTGTTGCTGCGCGCGCAGTTTGTCGGCCATGATGTACGGAGTTCGGTCGGTTGTTTGGAGATGTGCGACTGGGTTGGTGTTGGGCTTGGTAGGCAAAAGTTGGGCGAGTCGCGACCGCGGAGGTGCTGCGGAACTTGGGCTTAGTCATGCGGCATCAGCCCCATCATCGCGACAGCCTCGAGACGGATCCCCTCAATTCAACAAACTTCGGATCGCAACACCTTGCTTCTCTCCATCACGCGTCGCATGGCTAATTACAACCGCGAAGACGACAACATGAGCAACCACGACACGATAATGGGCAACGCGCCCCTCACACCACGCGACGAGCCCGAACTCACATCCCCCATGGTCGACTTCTCGCCATCCACAGTACAATACGACGAGGCATTTGAGAACAGTCTTATGGAAATCATACTCAACCCACCACCCCAGCCCTCGCCGCGAAAGCCGTCAGACGAGATTCCCACAATCTCCGCGTCGCAACTGCCCATCTCGCTCTCCTCCCACCTACGTACACATCCTTCCGCCGTGCCTGGGCTTTACATGACGCACCAAAACGGATATCATACAGGTGGTCCAGGGCCATCACCTCACACTATCGAAGAATTCGCGGACCGCTTCATTAGAGAGCATGGCATCGAGGATGCGGGGCAGCTGGAGAGGGTGGTGGAAGATGTTGTGAGGCACAAGCTGGAGGAGGCTAAGCAGAGGATGGAGAAGAGGAAAGAGCTTGTAGAGAAGAACAGAGGGATTGAGAGGGAGTTGGAAGATCTCAGGCTGCAGAGGAGTGCCGAGTTGAGGGTCATGGAGAGGGTCAAGGGGAAGAGGAGATGAGAACTGAGAGTCACTGTGCCTGTGCATGTTGGAGTCGCTGTGCTAGGTTGCGATGGAGTTCTTATGATACCCGACATTGGAATGTCAAAGTTTTTGGGGGCGCTGCGTTGAGTCCCAGGTGAGCGAGCTATTGTGCACAATAGGGCAGGACCTCGATATTGGATATCGCTATGCGCACACGTCAGATGTTACTATGGCTGCTGTTCCCATCCAAGATAAGAGCACATGCCATGATTGCCATTAAAGACGTACGAGCATTGCGCGTACAATCTCGTAGATAGACGAGTAGACCCACGATATCCCAGCTCTCAGTGGTGACAACTCAAGCATAAATTAAATGATGCGCAGAGCACGCGCATCGCCCTAACCCGGTGCCCAGGCGACCAGCGACTGCACCCTGAACCGGGGGACGAAGCTACCCGACCGATCAGACTGCGTCAGTCCGCGGCATAGCAGAAGCTATGGCCAATAGCGTCATACCTCAACGATCATCACTGCAGCTTCCATGGACACACAGGACCCTTGATCGTCTCTGCCGCGTGGTTTCGCGGGTCATCTGCTTCGCTATCGCGATCTGCCCCTGGGGCTACCGCTACAGTCAGGACTATGTTCTTGCTTCCAGCATGCGGGGGTGGATACCAGCCAACCTTGATTTTTGATCGCACTTTCTCAACTCTACTTTCGCGCTACATGTGACAGGACCGTCGCTCCACTACAACCACCACCAACACATGTGCACGAACTTTTATTGAGTGCCTAATCTACAGACAGCTGAGCAGAGCTGTACTGCGACACACCTCCAGCCAAAACGCCAACATGGCAGACAAACTCGGGAGTCTGGCTTGGAGCGGTTTCAAACTTGGATTTGGACTGTTCAGCCTTGCCGGAGTATGGACCATGGCAGTCATCAAGAACGGGGCGCTCTGGGCGAAAGATAGCGACGAGGAGAAGCGCGCGTTGGCTGCTGCGCAAGAGAGTTTCTGGAGTCTTGACCGAGAGCCTCTACCAGGTTTCAAGCATGCCTTCTACAAAACCACCAACGGTACCCGCCTGCACTATGTCGTTAACCAGGACACTGGATCATCACCGCCGAAGAACGTTACCATCTTTCTACATGGTATGTGTTCTCTTAGCAAAGTCATGCAGGTACCAAACTTTAATGGACTACGCAACTAACAAAGACCAGGATTCCCCGATTCTTACCTCATCTGGCGCCACCTCCTCCAATCCGCTTCCCTACAAAAGGACTCCATCCTGATAGCCGTCGATCTCCCTGGCTATGGCGGCTCCGACAGTCTGTCCGCATACGGCCCGAACGAAATGCTCGAGGTGTTGAGCGAGTTCATTGTCGGCATACGAGAGCAGTTCCTGTCGGAAGGCAAGAAGGTAGTGGTAGTGTCGCACGACTGGGGTGCGGTCATTGCTGGCCGGCTGGCTTCCGAGGCACATGTCCTGGCTGACCACTGGATCATCACAGGCGGCGCCGTCACAGCTCTACTACACTCGAACGCGATGAACAGGATTCTGTTGGCGAAGCAAATGCTGAGGACATGGATACACTCTCCGTTCAACTTCCGTCTGCTGAAGAATGGATTACACGCACTCGGCCCTGTGGCTGGACAATTCCGAAGCTCTTTCTACATCTTCGTATTCCATCTACCCTGGCCTCTTCACAACGTCTTTGCGACTTTTGGCAACTACTTCTTCCTGCGTGTTCTCCACCAGTTCGGCAAAGGCACACCGAAGAAGGGCAAGGCTGCTACTGTGTTGGAACCTACGGAAGCTGCTGAAGCAATGGCAATCTCTACTGGACCCGGAAGTGCCCAGCTAAACAAGGCGAACGACAAGGGTGAACGATACGGCGATTCTGTCAAGAGCAGAGTAGGCGACCGCGGCATGTCCGAGAAGATCCACATCTATCGCGACAGCCTGGCTTTCGGCAAGTGGGAAAAGTCGCTCGAGGTTACTGCCGCGCTGTACAACATTTCCTCTGAAGCTGCTTCTTCGCAGACCTTGTCTGCATCAGGCACCCTGTCCAGTATGGCACCACAGGGCGCGCTGAAGGCCCCTTCGACACTCATGATGGGGCAATTTGATCCTGCATTCAATCAACGGCTCTCATTTGATAACGCTCGCGACTATCTGGTCAAGGGAAGTCAGGTCGTGGTTATCAAAGGAGCAGGCCATTGGTGAGCTAACCCGAACACCAATATTGAGGGTGCATCTGCTAACATTATATAGGCTACCTCTTGAGCACACAGGTAGACGTGCGGTAGAGAAGACCCTGCAGTGGGCCTTGCAAGGTGCAGGAAGCGAGACGATACCCTTTGAAGCGATGAGCGATGTGCGCATTCTGGAGGCGTTGTAAGAGACAGCACGAGTGAGATGTACGATTAGGTACCAAAAGAATTTCACAGTGCTCTTCAAGATTCCTCACAGTGCCCTCCAAAATTTCAGTGACTCTAGTACAGCGTTTGCTCTTTCCCAACCTGAAGCGCACAGTCCTGGGTTAGCTAGGCTTGGCAACTACAGTAAATAACACCACCCACCTCTTCGCCAGTTTCTCACACCCTTTGCCTTGATTCTGAGCGCCCCAGAATCTTGGTTAGGAGACCACATCATACGGATCTACGAGGCTCACAATCACATTAGTGAGCGCGAATCCTTGAGTGCAGACAGTCTGCGCGTTAACACAATCTCAAGGTGAGTGCTCGTCTACATCGTCGGTGCGATAGCTCATTGATCATTCTATTCTATTCAAAAGCTGACACGGCCTATAGATTCCTCTTCAGCGCAACTGAAGCAACATGGACGATCCCGCCACCAAACCGCCTACTACCTTCCACGGCTGGTCGCGGCTTCCAGATGAGTTGAAGGTGGAGATTTTGGCTCATAACCTTGATCAAACCAACGGGATTGATTCGATTGCACACTCTAGTGTTTTCGCAGAACAGCTTACGTCCATCATCGGCACTCGGGACCGCGAATTCACTACGCTAGCTTTAGAGACGTATTATACGCGAAACGTGTTCCAGGTTACTATCGACGAAGACATAGAAAAGAAATGTGCACATGTGCAACATCCTCCGGCAGCCTATGGACACTTCATTAGGAAGATGGAAGTACTGGCGTGTACCCACTACTTGTGTTGGATGCTTCCAAGGCTTTTAGTCACTGGAAGTTCGGCAATGCGTTACATTCTCAGCCGCAGTCCAAAGTCGCCGCTCGGAGGAGATGACGCCTTCGATTTGTTCGCCCTGTTGCCGCACGATTACATCGTCTCGACCGTCTGGCAAGCAAACTTCATGCATCTACAATCACTGGCATTCAGATTCGAATATCCGATGCAAAAAGAGATTGCTCTGTTTAAACGCCCTGGCGAATGCGACCACTGCGGGCTCGCTCCTATTCACGTCGAGAAGGTCCTCACTGCGGTACAAGGGTTGCACATCGCGTTACAGGCCGCGAAGACGACCGTTGTTTTCGCCTCGACCTGTCCTTGTCTCACTCGTCTAGCCCAATTGCTTGCACGAATGGCGACAAAGTCGGACAAGTGAGAAGGAGATAGCTGACAACAACGCGTTCATGTCAGACACCACTAAAGATGCTTGAGAAGATGAGAGACGCCCTCATCAACGTCAGCTGTCATCGCATTTCGCCCTGTACCACAAGCCTGGGATCGGAATACATAGATTGACAAATAGCCAAATGCACATGCTAGTATGCACAAAGAATCGAAAATAATACAAAAATCCCACCCATGTCCACCCTTTCAAAGGCCATCTGTGCCCTGTCTACTAACCCCAAACATGGGTACAGCACTATCACTAATACCCTGCACCCGCTCGCTCACCCCGCTTGCCTCCATAGCTCGTGGACTGCCCATTGCAGGTGTGTTACTAGGCCAGGCCCACAGCGCGTCAAAGTCAATCTGCTCATCCTGTCCGCTTTCCTCGGAATGCAGACTGGGCACACGCGTTGCTTCCAAAGCAGATAGATCGAGCATGGCTGATAGTGAGGGCGCTCTCGAGGCCGATGTATACGATGGCGTGGCCATGTCTACCGGCGGGGGCTCTTGGATAGGGGACAGATGGACACTAAAGTCTTCTCCTGTGGGAGCTGGGCTGTGCTGAAGGTTGCCATGGTGTTGGTTCTGACCGAGAACATGGTGTTGCTCAGAGGCTTGATACGTCAATACCAGTTCGTTGATTGGCGCTGTCTGCATGCCAGGATAGATGTGTACGGGCACTTGGTGGAGTCGTGGAGTCGCATCCATCGGGTTTGATGCGCGCGCTAGATCGGGTGCCTGAGGCGCAGAGTTACGTTGTTGCTGCGGCATCTGCCTGCCGTAGAGTTGTGATGCGATGCTGGGTAGTGTCGCATTACTTGTTGAATCCTGTCGCCTGCGTAGTCGTTGTTGTGCGACGACGTCTCGGAAAGAGCTCAGGATGTATACTAGACGGCTTGCTTGTTGATCGCTCTCAGCGCAGTAGTTCATGACGTTAATAGCATTGACAACGCAGTTGTCCGTTAGCTCAATCTGGTATAAGCCGGCGAAGTCGCTGGCAAGGATGACAAGAGTTGCTGCGAAGAGGAAATAGATGACAGCTGGATTGCGTCGGGACAGATAACCAGCCTCGTAGGCGTTCTGTATGAGCAGAATGGTATGCACAGAAGCGATGACACACGCCTCGCTGAATCGCTCCATGCGGTGGAAAGGACGTGGTCCTCTCGACCCAGGTTGTTCGACATGCCGTTGAGTCTCTTTGTTAAGTATGTACAGTAAGAAGGGTCGAGTAAGAAGGATGACGGAATGGCAGTAGAATAAGTTGACGTGCAAGATGGCCACGCCTTGACTGGGCGAGGCAGTTGCTGCTTGTCGCCATTGCAAGATGGGCGTCAGCAACCGGGGCCATGTCTTGCATATGTCCGATATCTCTTGGGCGAGACGAGTGCTGATTTTGCGTTGCTGGTACACCCTCCGCAAAATGACGCCGATGACTCTGCAGCTTCGAACAGTGGCTTCCAGAGCAGGTGGGCCAGTCTCGTTGAAGTCGTAAACAGTCTTTGCGCTGAAGCTCCATGACTGGTTGCGAACACTACTGTCAGGCGGGCGGAGTGTATCTCCCGAGCAGTCGTCTTCCGATATGGCGGTTGGACGGCCAAGAGAGCAAGATAACAAGCGATCCATCACGAAGATCGACCGCCATAGATCCTTTCGCTGTGTTTGTTCTTCGGGGCTGAAGATGACCATGGTCTCTTCTCTGTGGAGGCCCAGCGCAAGCGCAGACCGTACTGCCATCCCAAGCAAGGCAAAAGCAGTGTTTCGCTTGCTTTTGGCCAACATGTAATATGACATAAGAAGCAGCGCTTGGACAGACCAGAAATCCTGATCCTCCAAACCTGTCATCGGATCGTTCATGTTCCTAGCATTTAGATAGAAAGCTTCGGCTCTGTCTAGGTGTTCACTGCGAAGCTTGTCGATTATCAGCGCCTCAGGGCTTCCTGAGAGTGGTGTCGCCATGGTGAGGCCGATGGCGAAAACAAGGTTGAGCAAGCATGACCAAGACGTATCGACAGATAGCGGATCGGAGTAGCAACGCTCTAGTTTCTCAAGAAAGGAGTCACGTCGGAAGACCTGCAACAAGCCGTGGGTATTGACGAAAAAGGCATCCACCAGCACGCGTGCCGTTCGCTCGTCTGGGAGTAGACTCGACTGTCGATATCCCAATGGAAGTGAATATTGGCCTTCGACTATCTTGTGACGACGAGGGTCAGTCGTAAACGGTGACGGGCCGGCTACCGTTTCGACCATCATCCGGAGGAGCTGAAGAAATGATAGGGTAGCTGCATCGCCAATGTATATCACTCGACCCGTTGGATCTTGTAACATGCGGCTCTGGCTTGGAAACTCCGCCACTTCATCTGTGCCATCATTTGGGGTGGAAGCGTGTGTCGGAGTAAGCCGGTCACGGGTGTTATCATGATTGACAGCCAGACGATCGATTGAGCTGTTTGCATGCTCTATACTGGTTCTTGGGCCTGGAGACTTGAACGGTACTTCTTGCTTGACACTGAGTGTGCGTGTCAACAGATTTGGATGGTTACCGGAAGACGTGCGGTTATGTAATGACAGTGGCGTTGTCTGGGCGTGCTCAACAGCCGGTATGTTTGCAGCCGAGTTGTCAGTTGGACTATAATGCGAGCAGTGAGCAAAGCTATGCTTGGAAAGTGTCTAGGCATGTAGCGGTGAATAATGCTTTAGAGGAGTGCAGAGTCCCATGTAATTGGCAGAGTGACAAGATGCGAGATACGTACATAGAACCGTCGCTGTCATTGCCACTTTCAATTGTACGTCGCTTTGCGGGTGGTCGGTCCTCGCCTGGAGAATTCGGATCTCGATCCGCGTATATGCAAGTAAACTTGCGCTATCTTTGATCAATACACTGCAGTATGTAATTGGGATGGGGACCTAACCTTATCACATGTGTTGCAGGGACACAAGCCGTTGCACTGTGATCTGTCAGTCTCGTATGCCAACTAGAGAGCCTAGTTGCACGTGTCCGCGAGTCATCCTGCGAAGAAGCCGATGCAGATGTTGTCCATGATTACAAAGCGTTCGGGTGAAGCATCGCCCAGCCGGACAGTTTCCTGTTGAACAACGTGATGAAGCCGCGCAGCTAGCCGATGGCCTCCCGCAATGCCTCCACACGGCGACCGGTGAGCATAGCAACGTCAAGATGCTAGCGTAATGGCATGCAAGAACTAAGTTGCAAGTCGTGAACGTTGACAGGGGTATGTGCCAAGTGCATCTGTAGCCGAGTGCAAAAAACGTCGTGACGCAACAGTTGAGGAACTGAACCTACCTTTTGTTTTCTCCTCTTGCAACTCTCGCATGCCTGAGCGGTGCGCTGTCGTTGGTCTGCGACGCGTCAAATTAGCCGTGAAGTCGCCAGTACGGGCGCAGACGAACCTGGTGGGACCTTGGGTCGCGTCATTACGGTATCGAGTCCGCGGGTAGTCGCAGTCGTTATCACGTGCGAATCCGGATGGTCAATGCCTGGGAGTACATTGCCGACGCGACGGATGGATGAGCTGGTCGGAAGATGCACTCGTGGTAATGATGGAAGCGAGTCACGGAAGTCCCATAACGCGACGCGAAAATGACGCGGAAAAAGGCCCTGCAACCTTCGCCGTCTGTATTGATGAGATGGAGACGATCACAGTAAGATCCTGATGGCCTTGCTGATGAAATTGGGTGACGAGTCCCTCGTGGTTGTCGCGAAGCTGCGAAGCTTGGGCTTCCCACTGTTCCGAAAATCGAGTAGCGTTGGACGTCTGCCGATCGTCATGAAATCGGCCTACAGACCCCAGCCCAGCCCGCCTCTAGACTCAACCCGTTGGTATGCAGGACGCTCTTAGCCGATGCTGATAGCAATGGTCATGACCGCATACGGTCAACAAGCTCGATATGCCGCTAATCAGCTTTTCAACGGCAAAGCCGTTACCACGCAACCTTACCTCGGGCCGTCTTTGGAAGGGCTACGAGTATTTACCCTGAGATCCCCTTTGCTACAATCTTGTACCGTTCTGTTTTGTCTTTACATTCCTCGAAATGGCGCCATATCTAGGATCTGACAATAGTCACCATCAAATCGCCACGCACGCCAACACATTGCTGGCGGGAACCACGGCAGCATTAGAACAATTACTCACCAAGGCGAAAGACAACCTGCCCAAAGAGTCGCTGCCACACATCGCTAATATCAAGTTCTCGACGGCAAACACCGGAAGCCCATACTTTCCCAGCCCACTGAAGCAAACAGAGGCCATCTCTGCCCTCAAGGCGGTTGAAGCAGGAGTTGCATCTGCCATCGCCGATCTACAAGATGCTCAGAAGCCACGGGGTATCGCTGTCGATCTTGAAAGAGCCACAGCATTCTTATTCTCTACCTATCTAGCCACAGTGGGCGGGTTCGATAAATCGGACCCAAGGGCTAAGAAGTTACTTAAAGGTTGAACTCACTGCCTCAGCGTAGCCGACGATTAATACTGACCCAGACAGACACCGATTTGCTTCAAGCACAATCTATCCTGTACCGCAGACTATCCGCAAACCTCTACCAGACCAAGAACCCAGGGGAATACTTTCATCTTCATGGATCTCTTGAGGCAACCAAAGCGCTGAACATGATCGGCCTCGAAGGATCTCGGCCTGATCTGACAGACTACCATGAATGCATCAAGGTCATCGAGGATCACGTCAGCCGATACACTGTCGATCAACTCGAAGAGATGAATAAAGAGATTGGGCAAGCTGGTGTGACATGCCTGAAGTGGGAAGATTTCCAAAGGACCCCACACGGACGTACACTTCTTCAGCAACCGCCTTGGAAGGTGGAAACTCTCGAAAGCGAAACTCCCGCGGCTCCTTTTCCGTTCAAGTCATCAAACACGCCCAAACCACAGATTCTTGCCGGTATCCGCGTTCTTGAACTGTGCCGGATCATTGCCGGGCCCGCTATGGGTCGGGGGCTCGCCGAATACGGTGCTGAGGTCATCAAGGTCACATCGCCGAACCTCTCCGACGTACCTTTCTTCCAAGTGGATGCAAACATCGGCAAGCATACCACCGACCTGAATTTGAAGGACCCAAGAGACCGTCAGACCTTTGAGGAGCTTTTGCAATCGGCAGATGTAATTTTGGATGGCTATCGGCCCGGAAGTCTAAATCGTCTCGGATATGGGCCCGAGCAGCTCCTTCGTCTTGCCAGAAAGCGCGGCAAAGGCTTTGTCTACGTTGCCGAGAATTGTTTCGGTCACACTGGGCCATGGTCCTCACGTCCAGGCTGGCAGCAAATTGCAGACTGCGTGACGGGTGTGGCATGGGCGCAGGGTCAAGCAATGGGATTGAGTGAGCCTGTTGTACCACCTTTCCCTATGAGTGATTATGGAACAGGATGCATGGGCACCATCGCTGCACTAGTTGGACTCCACAGACGAGCAAAGGTTGGTGGAAGTTACCTAGGTACCACGTCGTTGGTTCAGTACGATATCTACCTACTCCAACTTGGACTCTACGACGACCGTATGATGGCGGAGCTACGCAAAGAACATGACCAGGAGTTCTTTCAGTTGCGACATCACGATTCGGTAGATGAAGTGGGAAAGAGAGCATTGAAGACGATGAGACGAACGCATCCAGAGCTCTTTGAAGACCGACACATGCAGGAGTGTTACAGCAAGGGATTCAACGCCAATGTCAGGACTATCCGACCCGTGGTCAGCGTTGAAGGTTACTGGAACGGCTTCCTACGCAGCTCTCGTCCCAACGGGTTCGATAAGCCTACTTGGGAAGATTGGGAGATTGATGAAGCCTTACTACGGACTTGAAGAGGCCCAGCCATTGTTGCGACATAGGTTTTTCTCATCTCACCATGTCGTCTTGAATACCCAAATTAGCGTTGTTGCACTTGTACATCATGTCCTCCTTTCATTCCCATATCTCGTTATCATCAACGATTTTTTCTAGCATCTCCTTGCTGATATTCCTTCACGATCTCGAGCACTCAAAATTGCGCCTCGGCATGATGTGTATTGTGCCCCACATCGCCCCACAGTGTCGTCGGAGTTTCCCAGGCGGACTGGTGCAGCTTCCGACATACCACTGCACGATGTAAGCACACGTGCAATGCGTCTGGTACGTCCTTACGGTACCACCGGTTGAATATGATGTCGCTATGTGTACCGTCATGTCGCCTCGTACGCGATGCTCAAAGTAGGAAGAAGGCCCGGTCGGGGATGTTCCCTAGGTACGCTAGGACACGCCTTCCGTCGCGAGACTAGCTAGGGATACAGTCGCTCAACACCGAGACGGGCCGCTAATGCTGGGGAACGACGCCATGGATCAGTGGAGAAAGCCTAGAAGAATTCCGCGCAGCATTACCTCGGTGCACCCGTTGGCTCTCATTACCTAGGTATTGGTAAGCGGCGCACGTGCTACGTGGGACAAACGTGGGGTGCTGAGGTAAGGACCTTGCCGTCATGTCAAGCTTACTCAGGATCCTAGGTACTCTGTACCCACGAGCTAACCACGGTTAGTATCTTTATACGATCCATGCTCAGACCCTTTGCAGGCGCACAAATTGTTGAACCGAGGTGCTTGCGGGTTGATTACATTTTGACTTTGCTATAGTGACGAGATTTGGCCGACGATGGTACCAACTGGATGGACAGTATGTTTATCGGACAATGCCTACATTACTGCTCTTTGTACCGTCCCGGGATTCAACAAAAATCACTCTTCGGCCTTTGATGCCGCCAAAGTCATGCTTTGCTACGAGCACTTTGTAACTCATTGACCCTGTATCTGTCTTTTGAGCTAGCTTATGTACGGTGTGAGAACACACAGGTCAATCGGATATCAGCATGATTTCAAACTAGGATGTTGAAACAGGCGGTGCTATTGGCATTGCGGAACTCAAACGCCATGATTCTACGACGGCATTTGAAGGACGAGCGCCGCTCATGGCATACACCGGCAACCGGCGATCACCAGAACACTTGTACAAACCTTCGAAGATGCCGGCTTGAAGATAGGACCGACAGATGTACCGCTACACTAGCTAGACTATGAGCCTGACCAGTATCCTAGCACTGCCTGAACATCATCATCATCGTTTCCAAGCTCGCGAGAATTCTCGGCATCTCTAGCTTAACGGTCTCCATGACACATACTCCGAGCTTGTGAGGACTCCACTTCACTGCAAGGCTAGATATATTTTGCGTTCTCATGTCTCTTTTGCTCTTGCGTCCGTCACATCCATGAATAGCTGCAAGAGCTAGCCATGCAGAGCCTGCTTCTAGCTTTGTATCGCAACCGATTTCTTTCCTAGCTCTGTAGGTTGCCCTTATTGCCGAAGGCTCTTCTACGGTAGTAGATATCTGCCATCTCGTCTTCGGAGTTGCTACCGCCCTGCTGGCTGGGTTGCGCATGGCAATCCGTTGCCGTAGTCAATAGCCGCGGCGCAGCCTCCAGACTGTCACTCACCGGGCCGCTGTAGTAGGGACGCTCTGCGTGATCTTCCTTATGTCTTATGCGAGGGTAATGCGAGTTGCGCATGCTTGGGCGGACTGGCGATCGAATTGAACGGCAGCTGCTGTTGGGGCGATCGTCCGCCATGAGTTAGGTCTCACCGTCGGTTGGTGAGTGCCTCTGGGAGCAATGAGAACGGACGGCAGCCCGAGCACTTGAACAAGAAGCAGGCGACCTCGTTAGCATTGAGTCGGCGATCGCTCGCTGAATGTACCTTTGACCCAGCTTGGAGCGCCGCCTCGTCGCTCATCGCAGCCCCAGTCACTACCTACCTAGATAAGCCGTTGAACCACCTCAGTGACGCAGCAGCAATAGAGAAGATACATAGCTAGGTATAGATAGCCAGAGACTTCATGCTACCCTGAAGCTGCTTCTATTTGCGCGGTCACCTTGCTGTCGAGACGCTCAGCTCTATCATGGCTACCTCGTCAGAACACCTTACGTTCTTAGGGAAGACTTCACTTACAAAGGAGCTCACGTTTTTTGCTCTTACAGTCTCTCATTCTTGCAAAAGAGTAGCTTCGACTCTGGCTGACAATCAAATGTCATCAATGGATCGCTGGCTACAAGCAAGGTGAGCCACGGGACGCCCTGGCGAGACTAGCAGCGACAATGCCGCAATGTGTATGCTGGTACGGATACTCTCATACCCCGAATGTTCATATTGGCACTTCGATTTTCGTTCACGGGCGTGCTGTCCCCGGCTAGCGTTGCCGTGGTAAGTGGTTGCCTGGGCTCAACCACAACAAACGGTCACTCAACCACCACACTCCCCCTTCACCTGAGCAACTCCAGCCGACGCAGGCAGCCCGATGATCTGCCGGCCAGGCGCTAGTAGGGTATCACGTGACGCTAGCGCCGCCAAGCCCTGAGGGCCTACTTAGTTTGGCTACCTCCACGTCCACTATCATAACGCCCAATGGCCAACACAACAATTTGGAGCTCAGGTACCTTTTACCAAGTTTCAAGCTCTTCCTCCCTCATCCTTCTTCAGCCTTGACCTTCATTAGGTTCATCATGGCAACATACATTCACTCATTCTACCTTGGCACTTGGTATACTTGAACACTTCTTCAATACCTTCGACCTTCTCCAGTTCTACACGATCACATCATGTGAAGCCTTTACTTTGATCTTCGGATACCTTCAGGCTACACCATCACATCTTCCAACTTCAGCCATCAACATGTTGGTATCCATCAACACTTCACTGGACGTTCATGTCGACTTCACTTCCACCAAGTGCCAGCTGCTATAGCCTAGAAGCTTTCAAGGTTTGCCTCTATCCCCTCTTCTTTGTTCACTAACATGTCTTCTGACTCGTTCAGAACACACAAAAAGTATGTTCTTCCTTCTTTGATCATCCTTTACTGACCTTCACCAGAACAACATCAACAACTTCAATCAACTCCTTCTTCATTGACATCCATCTTGGACATGCTGGACTTCCACCTCACCTCACTTCATTCCACACCAACATCAACCTCATCATCACTCTGGACTTCCAGCATGCTCCTTCGCATACGACAAAGCTCAAGAACCGATCGGACGAGTCCACCCATCATCGACTGAACCAACCTGCGACTACGACAGATTGCTTCGACTCTCCCTACCGACCGCGGCGCGCGACAATGACCAGATCGAGTGGTTGCGACGGGTGAGAGACCCTTACAAGATTGTGTTGTGCTTTTGGAGCGCTTGACGGCTTGTGGTTGTGTCAGGAGGACAGAAGGTCAATGACAACTTGGTTGTTATACCTGGCCTACAACCACTACTGCGGTCTTGCACTCCCTGCTTACATACCACTGGCGTGCCTCGATGGGGTTCTGGTTGGCTTCGGCTGATATCAACGTGGTCACTGTTCGCAGAAGCATCCGGTGTGTAAGAGCTTTGGATGAGATCCTCTGCCGGTTGTTGGATTGGCGCACACTCGGCTGGTCAGTTTGGACTTGGAATGGTGGTAGGAGGTTTGGACTTGGTGGTGGTAGTGGTGGTTCTTCATGGGCTTTTCGATCTTTCATGGTCTTGGTGGTTTGAGCAAGGAATCTTGTTGGTCTTTGGGTGCAAGGAATGGCTTCTGGCCTGGTTTACTTCAGTGTGTTGGTTCTTCAAGGATATCTTCAAGGGGTTTTGGTTGTGGTTGGAATCTTCGCAGCACTTCATCAAATCAATATGTTAACTGCAACTCTATCTTCTCTGCTTGTGACTTGTCTTCTCTTCTAACTTTCCGTTTTTACTTAGCATCATTGCCTCTTGTTCCACGCAATGATCTACAGCGCCCACTATCCTCACACTACCACCTTATACAAGAGAAAAGCTGAACACCCTAGAGCCGACGTTGACGTTGGGCCACCTACTTCACATTTTTTCATTTTAATATAGGCCCTAGGGTGTTTAGTTTTTCCCTTGTATGAGGTGCTACTCCTCGCACCCTCAGCTACTATCATCGCGCCTCACTACCCAACTTCCCATCTCCACGGCCCAGCACCCCAAACATCCACTCCCCAATCTCCTGGCTCTCCTCCGGCTGCACAGGATAAAGATGACCCTGTTCCCAATGCCTCACCACACTCTTTCCCTCGCCCACCTCATACCACCCATCAATCAGTCCCTGACCCGCCCAATTCCACTCATCCTGCAGACCCTGAACATGGAAAGCCGGCAACTTAATCTTCCCCTCCATCAACTCCTTGCGCTCCTCGACGCTCATCCCAAAAGACGAAACCGCTGCATCAAGCGCCGCAGACGCAGAAGGCGGAATCAGCGGCGGCGGATACGAGCCACAAACACTGAGACCAAACTCGAAATCCAGATACGCAAGCCGCGATACATCATTCCCTTTCTCAGCGAGTGCGCGTCGAATCTCGCAGCCTTTGAGGAGCCCGGCTACGACTTTGGTACCCTGGGAGAAGCCGATGAGACCGACGACTTTGCCGCCGCTGGTGGTGATGCGCTCAACGGTGCTGCGGACGAGGTCTTCGACTTCGGAGGGCATGGCGGTGGTGGAGTTGCCGGCTTTCATGTCGGAGATGGTGACGCTGGATTGCATCCAGCGTTTGAAGGGCCCGCAGCCTTCGAAGAAGGGGAGGATGCCTGGGCCGGGTTGGGAGGGGAATGGCGCTTGGGATCTTTGTTAGCATGCGAGCGCGTGTCGAAGGGTGGGAAGCTGGGTAGAGATGGGGTATGCATACCTTCCAGACTCTCGACTTCGAAATGGTCTTTGATCACCCTCATTAGTCTTGCTAATTGGATTGTGTGTACGGTCGCGTTACTTCCTGAGCCATGGAAGGCTAGCAGT